AAAAAAGGAAGAAAGGAGACAGCCAGGGTGAAAGGAGGCGAGGAAGGTGAAGGGAAGAAGAAGGTTGGTGAGGGAAAGTGAAGCCGGCAGCCATAGCCGACTGGAGAAGTTGACCGGGAGAGTTGACCAAGCGTTGACCGGATGTTGACCGGATGTTGACCGGGGTTGACCAGGAGTTGACCGGAGGTGTTGACCGGCGTTGACCGGCGTTGATCGGGGGTTGATCGAGGGCTGACCGGTGTTGACCAAGCCGTTGACCACAAGTTTGACCAAGCTGGAGCCGGTATAATCTCGCCAAGCCTTCAACCTATCCCTCGCCCTATGGATGTGCACACACCCTATGGTACTTGCTGAGTCAAATCTGTCTGTCTCTTCTTTCTGCATCGAGTCTCTTCTGTCCAGGTGATAGTACTCTGTGGATGAAGGATAGGCCTTGTTGACCAAACCTTTGCCGGACCAAGTAGGGCTAAAGACTGTGTCTGACAACTCGATTGTCCCGGAGGCCTTACCCTCCCAAGGACCGGTACAGACCGGCGGGCTGCTCGGTGTGGCACGGTAGGCCCGAAAGGCTGAGTTGTGGGCTGCGCAACAGGCAGAAGTATTGAGAGACCTACTGATCGCATCGTCCTGTTTGCGACGTTAAATAATTCATGAGGAGTTACGGGGGATCTCCTTAAATGCCTCCTGATCAGCAACATGTCTAATAGTGACAGCCTTAGAGTAGGTCTAGGCTAGAGACCCTAGTTGACAGGATCTCTGTCCGGATTCTGTGAGTCTTTAGATTGAGTGAGTAGGTTTGTCAGTTAGGGGTTAGAGTGTACGTGGTGAGGTTTGGAACCGTCAATCCGGTTGTTCACTTATCACCATGGTTGAGACCCGTAGTGGGACGAGCACTAGCCCCTACACCCAGGAGCAACAAGAGAAGATGGCCGCCTTAGTGAGAGAGAATAAAGAAAGGAAAGAGCTCCTGAAGCAGGCGAAGTTGAAAGTAATCGCAGAGGAGAAGGCGGCGAAAATGAAGAAGTTGGAAAAAGAGATGGAGGAGAAGAAAAAGGCTGGCGAGGAAGAAGCAGCTGCAGAAGCGGAGGAGGAGAGAAAACACAGAGACAAAGAAGGGGAGAGTAGTGGCATGAAGGAGGAGGGAGCGAAATTAAAGAAGAAGATTAGTGAGTGGATTGTTAATTTATCGTTGGGGGAAGACGAGGAGGCACAAATGTACGTGCCACAGGATGAGAGGGACGCGTTAGCCAGTGCGTTACCAATAATCGAGGACCCCTTGGAACGACAAGAATCAGAGGAGGAGAAAAAGTTGGAGTGGAAACAGAGGATGAAAAGGGAAAAGAAGAGACGAAGGGAGGAAGTTAATAGGTTGACCGCGGAGGTGGCAAAGGTGAGAGACTGCAGACGAGAGGTGCAGGCGCAGGCTGACCTTTCTGCCAAAATGGATAAGATGTTGGGGTACTTGGAAGTGTTGAGTGAGGCTTGGATGGCAGAGCGCCAAGCCAATTGGGGTCCTGATGTGGCCCTGAGTGCCATGCGGTCAGGATTCCGGGATTTTGCGCATGACATACTCACCCACGTTGGGGGCGAAGTTAGGCGGTTAAGAGAGAACGTGGGAAAGTTTTGTGAGGGCGCCATCGAGAGTGCCAAAGCAGTAGCCGCTGTTGAAAGTGAGGCTAGACCTCCTAACTCCTAAAGAGCCCGTCAAACTTAAATTCCCAGATGCATATGGCGGGAAGAAGGAGGATAATTTTGATAGGCGAGCGTCAATAGTTACGTATACTCACAGCACATCTTGATGGAGGAACAAGTCCTCGTCGCCTTCCAGGCCCTCAAAGATGAAGCGGGTAACTTTGCCAGATCCCTTGCGCGCGCAGCCGGTTGTGAAAACAACCTGGTTGCATATTCAAAGATTACCCCCCTTCCTCAATTCTTCAAACTCCTGAGGGAGAGATTTGTTGACCCAACGAGAGGTGTTAGAGCCTCTGACAAGCTACAGACCATCCACTCACGACAGTGGAGGAGTGCAAGAGCACTCAAGGGCGTCATGGACGGCTTGGAAGCCGTCCCAGACCACGGGGTCACTGAGCCCCAATTGTTCCAGTTGTTTTATCGTGCCATGCCAGAGCCCCTGCGTGGGCATTTCTTTGACAAATCTCAACAGGCCGATATCACATATGATGTACTGAGTAGAGAGGTGGTCCTGTTCGAGTCGAAGTCCTGCCAGTGTCCACTTTCTAGCATAAGGACTTGGATAAGGGGAAGAAGTGGAAAGGTCGTACCATCTCTGGCCAAGTCAGGGCTAAGGATCATATGATCCTTACTTCAGAAGAGGGTGGTACAAACGAGGTCCCATATAGTCAGATCGAGCGGGGCCTCGAAAAAATGAGGACAGTAGCGTGGGGCAGGGGAGGTCCTATGCTGCTGTCGCGGCTGGAGGGAAGCCGCAAGGTAGAGGAGGAGGCCAGGGCCAAAGGGGCCAGGCCACGGGAGGCCGAGGACCGAGCGCATAGGGGGTTGGCGGACAAGGGAACCGCCAAGTGAGAGGTAGGGGTCAAGGTCCCCCGCCAAATCGTCAGGGTTCTTGTCGGTCCCCCCAGCGACGAGGTGGAAGGTCACCTCAAGGGGGATGGCACCCAGGCTTGCCGCAGGGCAGACCCTGGGAAGATTTGGGCTTGGACCAGCGCATATGGCAGGAACGCGTGGACTTGGGTCAGTGCGTATTTTGTGGTGACCCGGCCCATGTAATTAAATTTTGTCCTAAGTATAGACAGGCCCGATGGGCTGCCCAACAGTCAAAAGGCAGCCGCCAGTAGGGGTCGCAACTGCCCCTACTATAAGGCCATGTGGTGAAGTGAGCGCTCGCGTACAAGAAACTCCCGCACCACATGAGCCTATGGCAGAGGTTGCAAGCCAGTGCCTAGCTAGTTGTCCAGAGGCTGCTTGTGTTAGCGTCTCTCTAGGCACTTCCCTCACAAGCGTGGCAGAAGAATTGAAGGAGAGGATGCCAACCTGGCCCAAAATGAAGAAGGAGAGTAAGGGACAACTAATTCTAGTTGATGTAGAAGTTTTCAGGAGTAGAGTAGGGGCCCTTATAGACTCAGGGGCTACCCGTAGAGCGCTGAAGAAGCTAAGACTAGGATTGAAAGTCCAAAAGTTGGCAGACCCCATAGTCAATGTCCTCGCAGACAACCGCACTATGCGTGTTGAGGACTAAGTAGAGGGAGTCGAGGCGTATTTCCGCCTAGAGAAAGATTGGAAGGTGGAGAAAGTTCTCCATTCCCTGACTCTCCTCTTTAAGGATGACCTTCCTTTTGACATAGTGTTAGGAATGGATTGGGGAGAGGCAGCAGGGGCCACACTCCACTTGAGAGAGCATGAGTGTAGGCTCCCTAACCCGTCCGGCGAGGTTAAGACTGCCCGCCTGTTTCATGCGTCAGGTATAGACAACACCTTGGCACATTGTTGTCTCAGTGCTCCCGCGTTCGCGCGATTAGTGAAAAAGGAACAGTTAGAGGACCAGGTCTTTGTAGTATATGTCCGACCTGTCACTGAGCCTAAGGAAGAAGTTAATTCCACTTATCCAACCATTGCCAAGTTGTTGGAGGAGTTTAAAGACCTGACTGAGTCACCGACAGGAGTAGTGTCGTGACCCATCCAGCACAAAATAGAAATAGAGTCTGGCAGTCGAACTCCTAAGGGAGCAATCTACAGGATGTTCCCCAGAGAGTTAGAGGAGTTGCGCAAGCAGTTGGACGAACTCCTCGAGAAGGGTTGGATCAGGCCCAGTTCGTCTCCTTTTGGAGCACCGGTTTTGTTTGTCCCCGAGAAGGAAGGAGAGTTGCGCATGTGTATAGACTATAGGGGTCTGAATGCGATTACTGTGAAGAATGCTGAGCCGCTGCCCCAGATAGACGATCTCCTAGATCGGGGGCAGGGTTGTAAGTATTTCTCAAAGATAGATTTAAAGTCCGGGTATCATCAGATAGAAGTGCATCCTGATGACCAGTACAAGACTGCGTTCCGGACTCGTTATGACCATTATGAGTTGATAGTAATGCCCTTTGGACTAACCAACGTGCCAACTACATTTCAGCGTTGTATGAATGATCTGTTTAGACCTTGGTTGGATAGGTTCGTCGTAACCTACTTAGACGATATCTTAGTTTTCAGCAGGACCCCCCAAGAGCATCAGGGTCATTTGAGGCAGGTCTTGGAGAAACTCAGAGAAGCTAACTTCAAGATCAATGCGAAGAAGTGTGATTGGGCCAAGACACAAGTTTTGTACTTGGGCCACGTTTTAGACGGAGATGGCATTAAGCCTGAGGACAACAAGATAGCGGCAATTAGAGACTGGCCAACGCCCTGCACATTGACTGAATTGCGGTCGTTCCTAGTCCTAGCTAACTACTATAGGAAGTTCGTGAGGAACTTCTCCACTATCCCCGCTCCCTTGCGCAGGTTGCTAAAGAAAGAGGCAATCTGGCAGTGGGATAAAGACTGTACATCTGCGCTAAAGAGACAGAAGCGCGCGTTAATAGAGTATCCTGTCCTCAAGGTAGCAGATTCGTCCTTGCCATTTGTCGTCACGACGGACGCAAGGCAGTATGGTATAGGCGTCGTGTTGCAGCAAGACGACGGCAATGACTATAGACCCGTAGAGTTCATGTCAGCAAGGATGCCCTCAGAGAAGGTAGCCACCTCGACGTACGAGAGAGAACTCTACGCTCTGAGCTAGGCCTTAGAGCACTGGAAGCATTACCTGCTTGGGAGGCACTTTAAAGTATACTCAGACCACAAAACTCTTAGATGGTTAAAGAGTCAGGCCAAAATGACACCTAAGTTGACTAGGTGGGCCGCTAAGATCGACCAATACGACTTTGAGCTCAAGCCAGTGAAGGGCAAGTACAATGTAGTTGCGGATGCTTTGAGTAGGAGATCATACTACTTTGGAGCTATAGTGCACTATTTGGACATAGGAAAGGACCTGCAAGAGAAAGTAAGACAGGCATACGCGCAGGATCCTATCTATAGCAACCTCCTCAAGAGAGTTAAGGAAGCCCTAGCGACTGAACCACACTACCGCACTACAGAAGGATTGTTGTTTGAGAAGACTGATGTAGTAGACCGCCTGTGCGTCCCCAATAGTGAGGAGGTCCGTAGTCTAATCCTAGGGGAATGCCATGACACAGAGGGACACTTCGGTTGGCAGAAGACCTTAGCCAATCTGATGCGTGTGTATACCTGGCCAGGAATGAAAGCCGACTGCATAGAGTATGTTCGCAGTTGCAAAGTTTGCCAGAGGAACAAGACCACTACGCGTGCCCCTCTAGGTCTTCTCAGACCCTTGCCAATCCCAGACCAACCTGGAGATTCGGTCTCCATCGACTTCACGGATGTCGGTGTCAAGAGCGGACACGGCAAGAGCCAAGTCATGGTCATAGTTGATAGATTTAGTAAATATGCAGTTTTTGTTCCTTTGCCTGCAAAGGCGCGTACGGAGTTAGTCATTCATAAGTTTTTTCGATCATTAGATTAGTGATCACGGAGTTCCACTGTCTATAATTAGTGATAGAGACACCAGATTCACGAGCCAGAACTGGCAAGAACTAATGAGAGTCTATGGATCAAAGTTGCTGATGTCATCTGGCCGTCATCCAAAGACTAACGGTGAGACAGAACAGATGAACAAGATCCTGCAGCAAGTTTTGCGTATGTGTATTAGATCGGATTAAGTCAATTGGGACGAGATATTGCCCAAGGTAGCCAGCGCATAGAATAACAACGTGCATTTGTCTACCTGTCGCACTCCCAACGAGTTACACAAGTCCTTTAGACCCCGCATACCGTTTGAAGGACTTACCTGGGATCAGATTCACAGGCTACCGCCCGGTACCAGGGAGTTCGCGATACAGCACGAGAAAGAGCTAGCAACTGTTGTTGAAAACCTCAGGAAGGCCCACCACCGGATGATCGAACAGGCTAATAAGCACCGTCGCCCATCGCAGTTTCAAGTAGGCGACCTAGTCTGGGTCAAGTCTAAAGAGTTTGCACCTGAGGAGAACATCTCGCAGAAGTTACTACCTGCGTATAGAGGACCGTGGCCGGTTCTAGAAGTCAAGGGCGGAGAGGATGGACCGTCCTACACTATAGAGATTCCAACACACCTCCACACCTAAACTGTGTTCCATGCTTCAAAGTTGTTGTCGTGTGTCACAAGTCAACAATTCCCTTCAAGAAGATCCATGATCCCTCCGGATATGGATGGAAGATATGACATTGACGACATTGTAGATGAAGATGTGATTAGAATAGGAGGTAGAGGTCGTCCACAGAAACAGTATAAAGTCCGGTTTGCTTATCAGGAACCGGAAGACGGCCGCTGGCTTACTAGAACAAAACTTCTAGAAACAGCTCCCGACCTAGTTAGAGCCTATGAGCGTGATAGGAAGGGTAAAGGTCCTGCCTTGGACTAAGATATTCTCGGAGGACCTCAAATTTAGGAAGGCAGGAGTGAAACGGTTTTCACCTTTTTTGCAGTAGTAGACGCAGATCCCAGGGCTCGATCCCTAGTCCCCACCTTACCTGTTTACAGTACCTGTGTAGACCTYGAGAGTTGAACMTGTGACCTGTGTATTCGTMAACAGTTGGSAGGYTGTCATAGGTCCGTAGGTGGTAGGGGTTCGATCTGTAAGTTTGTCGAATAGGAGTCTTAGTGAGTTCCAAAAGTCTTAGCTGTAGTCCTTCTAGRAGGTCGAGCAAGTGGGCAAGTGGTGGACCARCYGCAGTACGTT